AAGTGTTATACATTTATAATAGATACATTTTGAACCACAACAATGCGTGGCGGGGTCTGCTAGTTTTAAAATAAAGTGATTATTAATTAAGCAACATAATTATTCATTAGAATATGCAATTTGTATTGTTACATTATTCTCAATTAATATGAAATATTAATTTAAATGACTAAAAGTTTTAATTTTAATTACTTTATTTTAAGTTTTAAAGTAAGTTTCCAATCCGCAAACATGTAACATTTATTCTGTTTAATAAATCTGTTATTCTGTTTAATAAGTTATGTAATGTTGCTATACAACCTGTCAAAAACCTAAATCTAAAGTTTTAGGTTTCTGATCTGAGGATCATGTTTTGATGTAATTTAAACATGGTTAATTAAAACCACTGTAATGATGCATACTGCAAACATTTCATAATTAGTGTTATAACTATTAAAGTAGTTTATATACTGAATTTTTGTTTTCATCTAACAACAAAATATTTAAAAGAAATCTCTTTTAGTAATCTAATACTGTATTCTTCAATTTCACTAAAACTGTTAGGCTAGGACTCCACTACCGTAAAAACTTCGTAAAATCCCCTCGCCGTAAAAGCCTTTAATCACGTGACCTATTTGCGTTTGCGCTCGGATTACGGTGGAGGTCCGGCTAGCGCGAAGTTTTTACGGCGACGGTGCTGCTCCAAGTGTCGAAAGTAAATACTTCTCCGAACGTGAATTGGTAGAAACGGAAGATGGTTGTTTACGTGATATATCGATATAAAGACAACGATTATATTCTACGAGTATTTTCTGTACTATAATTACAAATGTAGTAAAAATAATATCGTTACTTTCATATACTAACTTTTATTATCGTATTATTAAGATAATATACAGCACTTATAAGCTTAGCTTTTTTATTATATACGCCTCTAAATTGAAGGATTTCCTTTGATATCCATTATTATAATCGAGTTACCTCTTGTCGTAGATACACGAATACTTTCGGATGTTTTCGATATATCTTTCTGGATCTATTCTACAGTAGCCACGAGGGCACGTACACAAAAGCTCGTTTTCCGCCATTTTAGCTTCGTGTTGCGATGACGTAGTTCCACTGACTTCTGATTGGTTGAAGGTACCGTTTTACGGTCGTAATCCTGTCGAAAGTTGAACATAGCTCAACTCGCTTTTACGCTGGTTTTACGGCCTGCTCAAGCGTAAGAT